TTATTTTCGTTGCTACTCTATAACTGTAATTTTGCTACTGTTATGAATCGTAATGTAAATATCTTTTTGTTTTCCGATGGTCTTAGGCGATCCCTATGAAAGGGTCGTTCGACCCCCAAAGGGGTCGCAACCCACAGGTTGAGAACCGCTGGGCTAAGCGCAGTCTAAAAAAAGAGAAAGCATAAGCAAAAGCACTATAAGCATGAAAATAATATGATTAAACAACTCTGGGTAGTTTAGTGTGTTAGGCTGGAGTAGAGGACTCTTGGTTATGTGTGAAAGGGAATGATGGAGATATGGCTGGAGTCAGGACTGGAGATGTGGGTTAGAAACATAAAAGGGTCGAGCATGCCAGACAAAGGCATTCAGATAATTACTGTGGCAACAAAGGAGGGTAGTGAAGGTTTTTAAGCTGCAGAGTGGTAATATCAGATTTATGTTTTTAGAAAGATAACTTGCAGTAGCAGTGTGGCAAACTGCTCAGGTTTGCCTAAATCGAAGTGATGGAGTCAAGAAATACTGAAGAATTGACAGATCTTGCTCATCAACTGAAATATGAATAAGGGAGGGGAAAAATGAAGAATAATGAGCTCTGTTTTATATACTCTGACTTTGAGGTCATGCAGAGTGATGTCCAGAAGTTTTCTGGAGAAAGATGACCAATAAAACTGTATATGGAAGGAAAAAATTTGCAATCACATAACTCATCTTATTTTTCATTATCTTAAGACGCTTCTTGAATATGCCAAATACCTTCTCTCCCTACCTCTTGATTTTTTCAATTTATTTAGCAGAAATATGTCTTTAAATCCAAGTAAAATATTAGTTATATAGTTCAATTTGGTTGTGCTCATAAAAAGAGGAAGTATCTACGGGAATTCTGGTTTTCAAACAGTACAAGTTACCTACCTGAGTTAATTTGGGTGTATAAGCTTCCATTTCTTGTCTAATACTTTGAAAAGAATTAATAATGTCCTGACTTGTTGCATACTGTAGTGACTGGATTGGAGTTGGACCATGATAATACCTGAAGATTAGCAGAGAAGAAATGACTATTCACACAGAATAAAGGTGCCCAGCATTTGTCTTTCCATTATTTTACTGGTCTCAATACAACATTTTCCCCAAAGCAAAAAACGATAATATAGTTTAAATAGCACAGAGAACCAATATTTATTTTTGTGGATTTGATCATTTAGGATCCCTTCCTGAGATGCACAAAGTAAATTTTTAAGGAAAAAGGATACTGTACTTTTATGTAACAAACTGATTAAAACTTGAATGCTATACTTGCAGAATAGATTCTGCAATGACTTGTGTTTTATATAACTATTCTGCCCCAAGTTAATTTAATATTGACCAAACTTACCTATCTGACTTCTTGAGGTTTAGTGCAATCGTTTTTATGGAATTATTTTTCCTCAAGTCTTCATATTCAATGGACTCTTGTAATTTTGCCTACAATTAACACAGAACTTTTTATCATAACTTTCCCTTATAAAAGTAATGAACATGACTAAAAAAGTAAAAATGTACAGAGGGTAAATTATGAAGTCTTCCTCCCATGAGCTTCACTTCCTAGAGGTGACTGTTCTACAGATGGTCGAATTCATTTTCTCACCACTGTTTTCCTACACTCTGACCATACAAATTATTATTGAATTTCTAATTTTTGACCATCTGGTAGGTGAAAATATGTATTTTATTATTTTCCCCCAAAATAAGTAAAAGACTAATTTTATTATATGTGTTACAAATACCTTCTCTTCCAATTTGGTGTTTTTTGGTTTTAATTATTTCCTTTTCGCTTATTCTTCAGTGGATTAATTTTTTGCTTAAATCTTTGATCCACTTGGAATTTATTTTGGAATAAAGAATAAGGTAAGGAATGAGTTTCTTTTCACTAAATTATTCATCATTTCTCTTAACACCATTTGTAGAATAATCTGTCTTTTCCTACTGATTCTGAAATGCCATGTGTATCACATATTATATTTAATTCCTCCATGTATTTGGGTTTACTTTTGAACCTTTTATTTTGGTTTTACTAATATGTTTTCTCCTATGCTAGTAACAAACTGCTAAATTTCTATAGCCTTACAATAAAACACATTAATTATAAAAGACATGAAGACAATCTATGTAAAAAACATCTGTGAAAATAATTCTGTAATAGTTCATCCTCTACATAGTTATGAAATTCACCTGGTCAACTCTCATCTGCATCTACTAAAATTGGGATTAAAACATTTAGGTTATTAAATATATCACAAAAAAGATCAACTTGAAAACTTAGCATTTTAAATTGCCCCTATTTTAAGTCCAAATAGTCCTCTTTGAGTGTATGAACAAATCTGACCTCCGCATGATACCTGTAGTAACACATCAGTCAGTCCCACCTTACTTAGACTCGGCCTAATTTTATACTACTTTCTCAACTTTATACCCTTCAGCCAACTTCAAGGCATACTAATAATGTCTTCATTACTTTTCACATATGTTCAGCTCATTTTTACTCCTGCTGTTTGTTGCCTTACCTAAGTCATGTTGCTACCCAACCTCCCATAATAATCCAAATCCTAAATTTCTGCCAGAGCTGTTAGGTCTCCTAACTTTTATACTTAACTGAAAGCTCTCCATAAATAGAAGAACTCTATTATTACTTCTGAGTCTCATTCTACAAAATCTTTTGTAGAACACACAGCACACAACAGCTGACTTTCTTGAAAGGATATCTGGAGTCAGTGTTTATTATCAAATATTATGAAAAGTCACAAAATGATTCTTGACAACTCTTTCACTACCAACAGTCAAGGATACTTAGTGCAATAGTATTGCAAAGAAAAGCATCATTTCCTCAATTTCTGTAACTTACATTGTAGTTTCACTTTTTTTAGTTCAGAAAAGAAATCTTATTGGTTTTGTTAATTTTAAAGGTGCACATGCATAGAAACATATCAAGTTACTGACATACATGAAATAAAGTATAAGACTCGTCCATAATCCCTTTATGGAAAGATAACCATTTAGCATATTCTTTTAAAGGCCCATTTTAAAGTTCATAAACTCTTTATTTCCATGTGAAATTATATCATACAATCTTCTCTGTTAACTATTCTATTTATTTATATTCTTTGGTTCCTATTGTAAATAACAATTACTGTATTTTAAATTTTGTTTTGCAACTATTCTTTTGATTTTGTCCTACCTATAGACACTAAGCTCTGAGGACAAGAACTCTGCCTTATTCATTTTGTTTCCCACCACCTACTATATTAGGCAACTCAAAAATGGTTTCTTGAAGTTAATTTTTTATAAACTGCACTACTGTTATATGTGAATTTTTAAATTCAATACACCATTAATCTTTTAAAATAATGGCTGCATCAATCTGTAATCAGGTATGTAAAGTAAAGTATGGGTACATTACAGATATCAGGATTTTTGCTACTTTCTGTATTATAATAGTGTAATGAGTATTTATATTTAAATCTATGTACATCTTTAGTTTTTAAAAAATAAATGTCCAAAGTGGAATACTGTCCAGAAGTGGAATTAAAGGGCATAAAACTTAAAATTTTTAATACATACTGCCCTCTAAGAAAGCTTTATCATAATTTATTTTTATAATTGGGGAGGGAAGAACTTTAAAAAACAGGGATAGGGTAGCTTGGCAAAGTTGCGGGGAAAGAAGGAATATGCAAGTAGGTAACTGTCCAGGCTCTCCCACACCCTGAAGTGGTTTCTTCAATATTAATGAAAAGTCATATTAAGCCTTGAAATGCTAGGTTTAATATGAGGACTAAATCCTATCTTTTATTTCTTTTTTTTTTCTTTCTCATTTTAACAGTTTTTAATGAAAACTGTTGTATATAAAGTTACTTTATTCTTGCATGTTCTCAATTATTTTTTCCTTATATTTGCCCTTTTCCTTTCCTACTTGGCGAGATTTGGCTTTCTGTTCAAGGAATCTTTTTGCGGTCTTTGTCAAGCTTTAGTCTAGTGATAACCACCTTGCTGGGGTGAGTGCCCACATGAACTGCTGTGCCGTTAGCTTTTTCCCGCTGCCCTCGTTCAATGTAGATGACGTATTTCTTCCTGTAAACCTGGTCTACTTTACCAATTTGCTGCCCTCTGCAGTGTCCTCAGACAACCTGAACTTCATCATCCTTTCGATTGGGCATGGATAGAACATTGTACTTCTGTCTCAGCTCTTTGAAAAGAGGAGAAGACATAATCTTCCTGCGAATGTGGGAAGGTGCATTGAAATGTCTTTTACGGTTCTTGCTCCGGTCAGAAGTCACAAAGGGCTGAACTTCATTTTGGCCGCTGGCGCTTCAGCGATGGCCGCAAAAGGGAAAACCCAAATCCTACCTTTTAAAATCATATACGCAAACCTTTAGTTTTTCTTTCTCTGACACTGCCTTTCCCAGAAAACAACTGTATGTCAATATACTAGTATGTGTATGTGTACATGTGAAGGGGGAAAAAAAAACAAACAAAAAATAAAAACAGTCAACAGATATAAATCCATGAAGTCTGGAAAGCCAAAACCGAGGACGTACTCTAAAATGTTCTATAATTTAAACCAAACACTTAATGTCTTGGTCAGAAGAACTGAGTCATTTAAAATAATCAAGGGTCAACATAAAGTATTAGCAGTTATATAAGGTATCTGGAGAAACCTGAGCCCTAAATGTTCTAGACTTTTTACCCATACCCTTTTGACTGCTGGCTGAAAGCAGTCTGCATCTCCGGAATTTCCATCGATGCTGCTGGGCTCACCATTTTGTTCATTTTGTGCTTCTCTAAAAACAAAGAAAACAAACTTAATGATAAAAGCCACAAGCACAACAATATCACAACTCCTTCTGGTGATCTTGGACAGTCCAGTTACCACACCTCTGCACGTATACTTAACTGTTTCCTGAGACCTGCTGCCAGGACCATGGCACTGTGATGGTTAAATCTCTTGATGATGGCAGCATTACTATTCTCCTTTATGGACTTAGAATTAGAAGTGGATGGCACAGAGGAAATGCCATAGCCCTATGAGAAACAATGTAGTAGATTAAAAGTCAAAATAAAGTTCTGATTTACTTATCTGCTATGAGAGACATGCTTAGTTGAAAAAACTTTCTGGATGATGGGATTTTACTAATTCTGAGCATTACTAATATTTATAGATACACATTTAAAAATAAATATCATATACATAAAAAAAGAAATACCACTAACTCCTTTTATCATCACGAAAAAAATCTTAATCTTAAATTCTGCTTAAGGGCTGAATTATTATCTGTATTAGGGCTGGCCGAGTGGCTCAGTTGGTTAAGAGCTTGCTCAAGAGTGTGAGCTCTGAGCAACAGGGTCGCTGGTTCGATTCCCGGCCTGAGCTAAACTGCAGCTGAGATGCCAACAGGGGCAGGATGGCTCAGCTAAAAAAAAAAAAAAAAATTCTGCATGTTTTCAAGAGCAATTTTGGATCCGGTTAGCAAAATATTAAATGAAGGAACAGAATACAGTGGAAAAAGGCATAGACTTTGGATTCAGATAGATATGAGTTCAAATTCTCACTTTATCCCTTTTCCAATATTAGTCCAGGCAAGCTCTATAAAATGGGATATTGGAGAATTATGTTTTCAAACATGTATTGAGTGCATGCTATGTGTTAGGCCCTATAGATAGAAAGCTGATAAGTCTTTGTGCCAAAAAAGCCAAAATACTAGTCAGTGGGATGCTGGGCTGTAAGCCAGTACACATAGTTAAGATTTATTGGTGCTATGAGAGAGAAAGTGGTCAATCCCACGAGAGGAAAGGAGGGGGAGGTTAGAAAAGCTTCATGGAGAACCATAAGGTAAACAGGTGCTTGCAAGGCAGGCATGGAGATGACAACACTTCATGGTGAGCAAACTACTTAAACAAAGGTATAGAAGCAATTTATGAGTTTGTATGTAGCTCAGTATAACTGCAATGAAGGGTGGGCCAGGGATTGGTAAGACATAAGGCTAAAGAGGTAAAAGATCCTAAAAAGACTAATATGCCAGTCATTCATTTATCAAATAATTACTGAGTGCCTAATACATGCCATGTGCTCTGGACAGACCAAGAACAATCAGCCTCATGAATTTACACTCTACTGAGGAGACAATGACAACTGACAAATACAACAAGATAAACACAAGATCATTTTTTTTTTAACTTTACTGGGGAACAGCCATGGTCACTGGTTACACATTGCTTTCATGCTACAATGACATAGTTGACTCTTTTAAGGAGGGCGCAGCTCAGTGGCCCATGCGGGGATTGAACCAGCAACCTTGGTGCTATCGGCACCACGCTCTAACCAACTGAGCTAACTGGCCACCCCCCCAGCAAGATCACTTTTGAAAGTGACAAATGTTATGAAGAAAACAAAGAGGAAGACATGATGTAGTGACTGGATTGGGAGGAGGAGCTATTTTAGATAGGAAAGTTAGAAAAGGTCTTTCTGAAAAGGTGATATGAGAACAGAGGTCTAAAAGACTGATAGAAGCTAGTTAGGTAGAAGAGCAGGAAGAAGGAAAAGCAAGTGCAAAGACCCCGAGGCAGAAAAAGCTTGGGACGAACCTGAAAGAAGGTCACTGTGTTTGGAGCATGAATGAATGGAAGTACCCCAAATTAAGGTAGAAGTAGGCAGAGGCCAAATCAAGAAGGGCCTTGTGAGAGTTCTGATTTTATTCTAAGTTTAATGAGAAGCCACTGAAGAATTTTACATGGGAGAGAATCGTGATCTGATTTAAAACTCTTACTATTAGGGGAGAATAACCTATAGGGAACAAGAGTGGAAACAGGAAGATCAATTAGGAGGCTAATGCAAACAATCAAGCCAAAGATGGTAGTAGCTACAGGGAACAGAGTGTAAGTATCTGTGAAGACAGAGATGTAGACAGATCAGAGATGTATTGTCGAGGACATGCTGATGAACTTAAAGTTGGAGGTGAAGGAAGGGGAGGAATAAATAAGACTCTTAGGTTTTGATTTGAGCAACCAAGTTCATGGTAATGATTTTTTACTGAGATAGGGAAAGACCCAGGCAGAAATAAGTTTATAAGGATGGGAAGCAAAGGTTCCATTTTGGACATGCTAGTTGAAGTTTCTGTGAAATAACTAAGTGAAGATATCAAGCAGGCAGTTGGATATATGATTTCGGAGTTCTGCGATTAGACAGACTAGGGTTATTTGAGATTTATTATTACATATTTAGCATTTAAAGCAATGAAATGGAGAGAATGCATTCAGAAGGAGGCCCGAGACAATATCCTGGGACAGTTACAATTAGAGGATGACAGGGGAAGAAGAGGCATCAAAGGAAAATCTGAATCAACTAACATTTCCACTAAGGGGATTAGTTATACAGATGTTTATATATAATGGAACACTATGCAGGCACTAAAAGGAGTAGATAATAATAACCACTGTTACTTATTGAACACTTACTATGTACCAGACTCTCTTAACTCTTGTAGCAACCCTATCAGGTCAGCATTTCCCCCTACCTCTGCATTTTTTATACTGAGATATAACTGACACATAACGTATAAGTTTAAGGAGTACAATGTGTTGATTTGATACATTTAAATATTGTGATTTGATTACCACTGTAGCTAACACTTCTATAATCATCTATAATCACGTCACATAGTTATCATTTCTTTTTTGGGTGAGAACAATTAAGATCTAGTCTTTTAGCAACTTTGAAATTTATAATACAGTATTGCTGACTATGCTGTGCATTAGCGCTCCAGAACTTATTTACTAGTTGCAAGTTTGTACCCTTAAACTCTCCCCATTTCCCTACACCCCCTATAGTCAGTACTATTAACCTCAATTTATAAGAAAACTAGACTTAGAAATGTTAAAAATGACAGAATCTAAGCCAGGTAATTTGGTTTTCAAGTCTATGTACTTAACAACTATGGTATATTTAGCTTGGACTGATTTGGTAATAGACAAAGTAAAGAAGAAAGTTATATGTATGTATGCAATAATATACCATCATTTAAAAAAAAAAAAAAAAGCACCAGAATTCTTTTTTCCATCATACTAAGTTATAATCTCAACATTTCCCAAGCTTCATTTTTTTCAGGAAGATTATAAAGGACCACGTGTGTAATGTGTTGAGATTCACCAAGGAAGCAACTGAGTGCTGAGAATTACCAAGAAAAAACAATATCATCATGGAAATGATTCACCTGGGCACCAAGAATTATTTTCTCTTAATATATAATTTAGTTTAGACTGTAGGACAAAATTTTATATTACTTTTCTCACCTGGTGAGTAAATACACTAAAATATCAGGAAAAAGTTAGAAAAAAAAGATAGAAAGGTATAAGCATGTGTTTATAGCCAGCAGAAAAGGAGCCAAAAGGAGGGCAAGAAATTAAAACATGAAGAGTGTGAAGAGAATAATTGAGGAAGGCAGGTTCCTCCTAGCCTAGAAGACACAGGCAGGAATGGAATTGGCCTTGATCAGAAGGGATCACTTCTTTCCCCATGACTGGATAAATGTGTACGTCTAGAGTGGTGATGCTGAGATAGGTAGCTCAGACTTGATGGTCCAGCTGTTGAAACATATTGGGACTACAGAGGGGTAAGGGTCGTGAGCATGCTCAAAGTCTGGCAAATAGTGAGCAATCAACAAATGTGTTATCTTTTCCTTGTCTACCAATATTTATCCACATTCCTAGAGACTAATGCTAGCTAGAGCACAAAGCCAGACACAGCAACATGTTAAGCCTTCAGTATTACCTAGAGGACTGCTGGTGGGGGAGCTTCTTTCAAATTTTAGCAACTCACACAGGAATTTCAGTTCTACAAGGCAATTTTAATAGGGAACAGTGCTACTGATAAGCACTTCTGATAAATCACTCCAAATAACTGTATTTTGCTTGATTCACATCCTCACAAATAGAACATCTATATTTGACAATTTTAGAACTGTAAAAATGGTGAAGACTAGGAAAAGACTGGTTTCTCTCATAAATCCTTCTAGTACTACTTACATCATCTAATGGTTTATCTTCCAAAGCGGTCAAATCAAGTAGTGGGTTTTTCACTCCTAATGAAACCATTGCTTTTAGCCCTAGAAAATCAATGAAATAAAAATGTGATCTAATCTTATCTTTCTCAGAAATTAAAAAATTCACTAACAGCATTCATGACTAGAGAGCAGGAAATCAAACACTAGAGTGTGTCCGGGATAAACAGTTACCTTTTTCATCTATTTTGGCACATTCTGCAAAGAGGTCCTTTGACCCTGTGTTCAGCCGGTCCCTGTGAAAATAATGGGACTGAAAAAAACGTGTCCAGAATTCCTTTTCTGTCATGTTGTGGGGAACATTTTCTGCATATTTCATTTTTACTGTAAAAGAAAAACCATAAGAGTCACATACTGAATTTCCATTTCTTAAAACCTCTCCAATTAGTTGAAATATAAACTAATAGCAAAAACTAGATTATGAAACTGCTGAACTTTATATACTGTATATAATAATCGAATTATAAATATGAAATATAACGTGAAAGATTAACTATCTTTATGAATCTTAACAAATTACAAACAAAACCTTATTTTGTACCAAGAGAATTACAAGTTTCGAAGTTTTAGTAGAAACACGAAGATTTGTGGAGTCAGACCTGAGCTTGCTTGTTTGATCATTTATATATGTGTACTTTCAATCCACTGTGTTAGGCACTGTGTTAGGTGCTAGGGAAATAAAGATCTCAATACCACTAGACCAGGGATCGGCAAACTGTAGCTCACGTGCCCCATGCGGCTCTTTAGGTACGTACATGTGGCTCTGAAGTAAAACTGAAAATGAAAGTAAAACTCTCATAGTTTCATTTATAAAATTTTTAAAGGATATTATTCACATAATGGTGATTTCATTTGTTTTATGGCTCTTGAATAATTTTTAAATTGTTGTGAGGGGCAGGATTGGCTCTTCTGTCTTAAAAGTTTGCCGAACCCTGCACTAGATGATCTGTTCAGCACTCCAGAAGCTAAATGTCTAATGAGCAAAGAGGTTAAGAACATGGTCTCTTCTTGAACCAGAGAGCCTAAGTTTAAAATTCTAAGTTTGTCACATACTATCTGTGTGACATTGGGCAAATTACTTACTGTCTCTGTATCTTGGTTTACTCATCTGCAATATGGGGGTAATAATACTACCTACTTCATAGGGTTATTTGTGAAGACTAAATGAGTTAATATACATAAAAGCCTTAGAATGGTGTCTGACACATAGTAAATACTATACAATTATATTATTATCACAAAGATATGAAAATAACTCCATTACAAGTGGTAACTCTTTGAAGCAGACACAAGGAAGGCCCTACAGAAGACAAGGGGAGGAGGCTTATATCTGTCAGAAGTAGTCAGGATTTTATAGAGGTGGCAATGAGGCAATGCTTGAGCTCAGTCCTGCGGGTGAGCAATGTTTCCTTAAGAACAAAAAGAGGCAGGAGTAAGGAAGTGGGAAGAGAGAACAGCACGTGGCTTAACTATTAACAGCATGTGGCTCTATTTAACAAATAGAGCACTATTTGGTCAGAATGAATGACGCAGTGGCTCTCAACCTTGGTTGCACATCAGGAATCACTAGGACTGGGGTCAAGCTATTTATACTTTTAGGATGGTTTCTGCAAGGGAAATGATTTGTGAGTTAGAAATATCATTCTGGAGGCAGCATGAAGGATGATCTGAGTTAGTGCTGTAGAGACCCATTCATGGATGCCTCAGAGCATGTCATTTTGCTCAGGTATGGGAAAGTCATCATACCAATGAATTGATGACAGCACATTATATACTAAACCTTTAATACCTAGCATATGTGAGGGATGAGGTAAAGTACTTTACATATTTTTTACTTTTGCACATGATCAGGAATAAAGGTAGAACTTTGTTTTTCATCGCTATATTACTGATTTCATCCAAACAAATATTTTAACTATCTGAAAGAATTGATTCTTCTTACCTGCTGGATAGGTCCTAAATATGGACTCAATGATATCAGAGGTTAAATTGTATCTCAGACCATTACATCCATCTGTTTGGGGCCGGACATCAGCCTAAAATAAAGACCATATATATGTGTGTGTGTGTATATATATATATATATATATATTTATGTACACATATTCATTAAAGTATCGAGGGAAGATGTCTAAGCATGCAAAAGACACTGGACAAAGATGGAAAAACAGGTCTACTGAATGAGCTACAGAGACAGAGATAAGGCCCTCACGTTTACTTTTGCAGAGAAACAGGGCTCAAAGAAGCCTGGCCTGGTTTCACATAATCTTAGTGACCCAGGAAATCTGCTTCCTTGAAAATCCTACATGGTCAAATAGGCATGTTTACAAGTGGCCAAAGGCAGATAGCTAGGGGAGCTTTAGCATAAACTCATAGTTACCCAAACTACTATACATCTTGGTTACTAAATAAGCAATTTTAATTGACTAGTTTCTTTTTTCTTTAAAAAAATGGGGGAATTGGGAGAGGGGAACAATGTTGGGGAATCAGACAAGTTGCTGTCCTTTTTGTTCTTCAGTCTAGTTGTGGAGGATGTCGCTTCAAGAGCCATTATCATTGTGTTCTTCCCGGGAGAGGCAGATCAGTCACCGGCCTCTGGACGGCCGCTCACGGTGGCTCTTGGCAGCTCACGCCGGCTGCCGGCAACTCACAGCAGCCCAGCTCCAGGTCGAGCTGTTGTTCACTATCTTAGCTATAGAGGGGGCAGCGTCACTGGCCCTAATGTGGGATCCGAACCGGGGCCCTACTGCTCAGAGCTGGTGTCCCAAGCCAACTCTTAACCAACGTGCCACTTGGCCAGCCCTTGACTAGTTTCTTTAAGAAAGGCATTACTAATTCAATTCACTGCTAAGCATCCAGAAAGATGCCAAACATATAATCGATACTCAAATTTTTGTTAAATATATAAATACTGCTTCTGTTCCACCATAATATAGGCTAACTGATCCCGTTTTCTAATTCCACAGGTAAAGTATTTCCAATTTTTCTCTAAGATACAGTTTACAACTTACTTTTCCTATAATAATCATTACACATTTAACTTGGAATCATAAGTAAAATATAGCAATCATAAAAAAGGTTAACAGAAAGCCCTAAATGTAAAGTATTAGGGGTAATAATTATTAGTCCAATTGCTAAAAGAGTCTCAAAAGTCCATTTGGTTTCTAGCATGCCAGGGTCAAGTCGAAAAACCAAGAAAATATAACTGGCAAAAATATATTTAAAAAACAAAACACTATATATTTTAAAAATATTTTAGAAGAGTACCATGAATACTGAAGTCTTCATTAATTTATTTTAAGGAAATGTCAAATTTTATAAAAGAAATGGCATTGTTAACACATCATATCAGGGTTTTCTTTTTTCCCCTTCAGAAATCTAGAAGGGTCACATACCAGAAATGCTGCAGAGATACCAACATCCTGCTTATGATTGGATGTGGAAGAGCTCTCTGTTGAGTTCACATTTAAACGATTGGCCCAGAATTCCTCAGCACTGATCACTTGACTCACAACAAGATCTTTATAAAGCTGAAACAAAACAGGATCTTCTTGCAGCATTCTGGGGAAAGAACATATCGCATATATTGAACTTGTAGAATAAAACACCATTTATGTTAACATTTTAAAGATTTTAACAACACAAAATACCAAAATACACAATGTTCATCTTGTGATGATTGAGCAGCAGAAGTCATTTAGTTTATTTGTTAGTAATTAAAAGAAAAAAAAAGAAAAAATTGGAGAAACAAAATAAGTGGAGATAAGTGGAAGTAATTCTAAAGCAGTAAAAATTAAAACTCTTTGAAGGCATGGCTTTGGTCTTATTTATCTCTATAACCCAGCGATACAAAGGTCATTGTGTCTGTATTCGTATTGCACTGGATTCTTTTTCACAAAAGTGAATGGGGTATAGAGGAGGTGTGCTTAAGATTTTCCAGCAAATTTTTCATGGTGATAAGCACTTGGAGCCATAAGCATAGATGGCCTGAAAGATACTGGTGATGGAATAATTCATCTTATCAGAAATTCTCATCATTTTACAGGCTTTCTCAGCTTTTTAACAGTATGATTTCTTTCAGGTTTCTTATTTACAGACACACTTTTAATGGTTTAGTATCTCCTCTGTGACAGAGAACAGGGAAAAAGAACTCAGGGAACTTAGCACCTTCGAATCTCAGTTTTGTTCCTAATCAGATGTTAGGCTTGAGGCAGTTAATTTAACTTCTGAGTTTATACAGTCTCATCCGCCCAAAGCCAAACAGCTAGTAAGATGCTCAAGTTGAGAATCAAACACAGAGGTAAAAATCCTAAAGCCTATATTTTCCTATGTAACACAAGGGGTGAGAAACAGCAAGCTATTATTGTAGTACGAGACTGGAGAGAACCTAGTATATCTTCAAAAGGCTATTCTTTTCCTCTTTCACCTGTTTTTCTCTTCAAGTTCTTTATTTGCTTTCCTCTTGAATTTGGGCAGCAGCTGCTGAAGAAGGTCTTTCACTGCATCTCGCTCTTTGACTGCTGTGCTTTCATTGGAAAAATGGAAGTTAGTTGTGTCCCCTGCATGCAGGACCAGCTGAAGTTGAATTTTAGCTTTTCCTTCTGGACTGATTTTCTGGCCTAAAAAGAGACGAGGTTAGTTAGATGAGGGCACACACTGTGAAAAGTGCCACACAATAAGTTACTTCTTTTGCAGAAATACACTCTTCTCAATCCCAAACAATCAGAGCACGGTTCAACAAATTCACTGCTAACACTCTGCTTCCTTCATCAGTATCTTTTTTGTGTGGCATCTTTCACCCACTGCTTCCACCTCCTGGTACTAAAGGGCTTTTGTTTCCATTCAACCAGGGCAGATCTCTCTAAAACTTTCTAAACAGCCAACTAGGAGTCCAGGATCCACCCTAAACAGCAGCCTGCAATCAACATTATCATTAATAAAAATGATTTCTCATGATTCAAAAAACTCCAAAACACGGCCCATGGCTTACTCATTAACTGCAAACATATATAATTTTACATTTGAGAGATCTGGTGTCACCACTTTAACCAAGTGATCAAATGAGCCTCATTAAAAGCAGGACAACCTGACACAATGGGCTTCCTGAGGTAACAGAATAGAAGTAAAAGCCACCACCTATGCTTAGTTCTGGCTGGAAATCTTTAACTTGAGTGTTATCAAGCCTGTAAACCTGACTTTCAGTTTCTAAGAAATACAGGTATATAGAAACAAAACCTTCAAGAGACAAGCAGGCATAATCACAATGTGTGATAGTCTATGAGCATGTATTTTTAAAGAAGAGGCTAAAGAAACTACAACTACATACAGGAACCTAGATTAAATATTAGTTTTTGTTTTTTTTAAATCACAACTCTAAGAAACATTATGGGGACAACGGGGGAAATGTAATGGTCTGAGTATTTACTATTAAAATTTTCTTGGTGTGATAATATTATAAGCAGTCAAAATGTACACACACATAATAAGGCAAATATGGCAAAATAATAACTAATATTTTGGTGGGATACATTATATAGGTATCTATTGTACCATTTCTTAAATTTTTCCTAACTGAAGATTTTCATAATAAATTGGAGCTGGGAATGTCATAGTATAACTACATAATAGAGAACTTGTATCATCAAAGAGTGGGCCCCATGGCAACAGTAGTGCTTGTCTTCTTCATAAAGGAAAGAGATGGAGGGGCTTTGTCTGATTAAATGGGTGGCTCATGGTAGTGTGAACATGCTGCGTAGGCCTCTCAGCCCAACCCAACCTACTAGCCCCTTAAATAAACAGAAACCTTTTCAATGAAGATGCTGCTTCCAGACCAACAGTTTAGATAAAATATCTTACTTTGTTTTGTTTTGTTTTTTAGCTGAGCCATCCTGCTACCTGTTGGCAGCTCAGCGGCTGCTCAGCTTGGGCTGGACTCAAACCGCTGTTGCTCAGAGCTCAAACTCTTGAGCGAGCTCTTAACCAACTGAGCCACTCGGCCGGCCCCTAAGATAAAATATCTTACTGCCAAAGGCAACAACATGAAACAACGTACACTATAAGCCAGCCTGTTTCATGATCTCATTCCTCCAAAACAATCTATCTCTCCTTTCTAGGCATTTTTTCTGTCACTGCTTTATCCTTGTTCTATCTTTGCTCTTGCCTCTGAGAGGCCTAGGTTTTTAAATTTGCTAACTTAACTGATTTTCTCCTTAGTAATTTATTATTGGTAACTTACAACGGTTTCTTTCAGAAATGGGCATTCTATCAACTATTCAACTTAAAATGAAAACTGATCTGGTGCAGATCTAGATTTCAGTATGTGTTCTCCTCAATAGCGGAGAATTGCGGAGAAATGCATGTACGCATATTCTTTATTGCATGCTGTTGGTGTTGGTATCACATAGAGTGTATTTTGCAAAACTACAAGGCTAGCTTCCTGTTTAATAGAAATGCTAATACAGGCAGTTCCTAATTTATGAGTATTGTGCACAAATGTTAGCTTGTAAGACTAGTATCAGGAACCTGGTGAGGCATTTTTTCCACAGAAACAAAGTTTTAGTAGGAGGTAACACTACCAGGACAGTGGACAAAAGACCGGACAGCTTGGGCAGTACTGAATTACGAAGAACTTTAAACAGTATTTCCTTTTGAAAATTAAGTTTCTAAGTTATTTCAGTGGCAAGATGAGGGTCTTGGTCATTTCTAGCAGCAAGTAGAGGTAAGTCCTTAGGGCAGCTGTTCATACACAAAGGACATTTGTAAATCAGCGCTTGCAAGTTAACGGTAATCTATTTTTCAAGTTGTCTGTCATGTTCCTTAAAATCTACACACAGTTTTATCTAGGAGAAGAATCTTATATCCAGAAAAATAAATAAATCCATATTAATATGTCACAGTTAAGATACCACAATTTGTCAAGAGCTTTGTTGCTCAGACTCCCTTGCAGTCTTTCCTATTTTTGCTCAGTGCTTTTAAATCTATTATTGAGCCATAAAGTACCAAGCCCTTTAGGTAATAATTCAACATTAATCTTGCAAATTTGGAAAGAGAAGGGGTTTTGATTTTTGCCTTCACACTTGAAAATCACAAAAAGAAAAAGGACATAAAAATATTATGCTCTGTATTTCTCCCATCTACATACAGTACAAAATTGAATCTATCTTCTTAACAGACGATGGCCACATAACTAAAGATTAATTTGACAACTTGCTGAAATGATACAATTTTATTAATGGGCAATCTGGCATCATCTATCAGCATTTTAAAAGCATGAACCATTTGAACCAGTAAATCCCCTGCAGGGATGCATCCCCCCACACACCCTTACAAAGGTACTGGTACACAGTTCTATCTATACTGCCACATTGCTAGCAATTACAAAATTCTGAAAACTTCCTAAATGTCCTTTAACAGGGGACTGATTAAATACATAACTGTACATCCATTCAGTGAAGTATTATGCAACTCTTAAAGGAAGGTATGTTTGGAGGTCTTTACATGAGGTAGATGTACATATGTAAGGCTGTACATGCTCTATTATTAAGTAAAAAAGGCAAGTTACAGAATACTAATATATATTTGGTGATCCCACTTTGTAATTATTTCTATATGGTTTATTTTTTGGGACATTAAAAAACCCACAAAGATTTTATAAGCAATTTTCTAAAATTACTAACAAGTATGACATACATTAGACTTAGTATTGACTTACATTTAATATCCGCATACATATGGCTGATCGTAAATCTATCTTTGCCTTCAGGTGCCCAAGCAATTCTTTCTGCCATGAGGTATAGAGCTCCATCTTGCTTCTTTTGACGCACCTTCTTTACAATCAGTAAAACTTCTTCAGATGAAGTTGCCATGATGGGTAGAAGGTGCTAATAGAAACAAAAAGATTTCACATCTCAGTTAGGGTCATATTGATTTCTAGTGTCCCTTCCAAATCTAAAACCTAAAACCCCCTCTTCCCTCAAAGTTAAAGATAAAGCTGTATGGCATTCTTCTTTGAAAGTCAAATTTCATTTTTCTCATACTACAGGTAGGAATTTACCTAACACAGTTTATAACACTTGGCAGCTTTAAAAATATTTTTACATATGCTAATCAGAGTATTTTCAATTTATTTTTATTTTCCTGTTATATTCTTAAATCTTAGTTGCATGATTTGACTACAAGTAATCTATATTTACAATTGCAAAACTTTAGATTACATAAGACTAATGAATATTCAAGTTGTTTTAACTGAAACAACTAAGGGTCACAGGGTTTTGTGTGGCCAGAGGTGAAACCACACATTTACTGACTCCTGTCTGGTCTAGGTTTCTTCCTGTGTGCTTGCAAATAAAACTGAAATTTCTTTTTATTGGTTAAAATGTTACAAATAACGGCACTTGCATTTTACATTGCAGAAGTCATATCAAAGATTATCTTACTGACTTAAAATAAAGATTATCTTATTAAGAAAACCTTGCTGCTTTTCTTAAGTATTACTACATGCAAAAAATTAAAATAGGAGCCGGGTAGAGAAAAACACACAGAAATAGGGTTGTCAGAGAATACACAAGATGCTCAGTAAAATTTAAATTTCAGATAAACAAATTTTTGGTGTAAGTATGTCCCAAATATTGCATATACTAAACCATTATTTGTTTTTTATCTAAAATTCAAACTTAACTGGGTGGTGGCCTGTACTTTTATTTGCTATATCTGGCAACTCTTTGTAGAAGATCCTTATCTTCAGTAAACTTAATGTGTAACAGGAAAGTTAATGAATTTTCATAATATAAGGCATACATGGTAAGTACAGTAATGCAAACAATGAGGTGAGAAGAGGATCTCCACTACCACAGCAGGGTACCTGAAGAGATGCTAATTGCGTTCCTAAAGTTTGACTGGTGGATAGGTGGTTTTGTGTGATGGTTTTGGAGTTCCATTGTTCTGAGTTAAATCCCAAATTCACTGCTCACTAGCTGTGTAACCTTGGATAAATTAATCTTCCTTCATTATGCTATGAGACTACTAATACCTGCTTTGCTAGGCTGTTTTGAGGATCAGAGATAATGTATGCACGGAGCACCTGGAACACAGGAAGCACTCCCTAAATGATAATACTACTAAAACACCACATAGCAAAGAGGGTATTTGTCACAGACATATTCAAATGTTAATGTCATGCAGTAATAGTAATACTGAATAAACAATTTGATTTTCATGATTTACACTGTACACAGTTGAAAAGCACCCTACAAGTTCACAGTATGATACAATATATTTACTTTAAAAACTCAAACCACGTTACCAATTCTGTGATAGGAAGAATGCTTCCAAGTGTTGTCAATCTCACAATTACAAGCCACCAAGTGAGTTTTAAATACATATATTTTAAATAAAAAATGAATTCTACAGTGGAAAGTTCCTGCAGCAACAGTTAATTAACACGTATACATGCATTTTCATGGAGACGTTGTTTCATAGTAATTTACAATATCAACTTTATCTGCCAAAAAACCCATTTCAGTAAGTTTTACAATCCCAAAATTTTTTTCCACTTTTTCTTCTCTGTTGGTTTTCCTGGGTGTACTTTGTACCTATTAGAAGTGTGTTCATCTATTTTTTTTTATTAGTTTCAGGTGTACAAAACAATATACTTT